CTCTTCACCTCTATGGTCAGGATGGAGAATGCCCCCCAAAGGCCCGTGTGTTGAAGGGCTGATCCCAGAGTGGAACTGCTAAGAGATTTAAGAGATGGGAGCAAATGGGAGCTCTCAAGTTAGATCACTGGGCATGCCTTGACCCTGGTCCCTTTCTCCTGGCTTCCTCACCCTAACTGTGGGCAGTTCTGCTCCAACATATGCTTCAAGGCCTCAAAGCAACTGAATTACGGGCTGGCTCATCCCAACAACATGATCTAAAACAGACTGTGCCCCTCCCTGTATACGGTGATTATCTCAAGTATTAGTTCCATGACAGAAAGCAAGAACAACTTGCCTTCTCTACTAAGAGTTCACCAAAGCCTTGCCCAAACACCACCTCTCTCCCAGGAAGCCCTTCTGACTTGCCTGGGTAGTTATCCCCTCTGCACACAGAAGCACGCTGGCATGACAGGATACCCATCATTATGGATTCTCCTCTATCACCTTCCTGCTCAATAAACACTGGAGGCTTTTTTTCTATGGCTCCAGGGCCCCCGGATCCAGTACAGTGAGCAACTGAACTGCAAATGCTGAAGAACGGGTTTGGGTTGAGCTGCTTCTGCAAGGCTCCAGCCAAGGGGCAGCCCGCCAGGATGAAAAACAACTCAAGGGCAGTTGGGTCTTCTTGGGAGGGTCAGAAACCAGGCCTTGGGCTTCCTTAACCAGAGCAGCAGACCCCACAGGATCCTATGTTTGGCTGAGGAATGAAGGATATGGACAGATCGTTCTGAGCCTTCCAAGTGCTCAGCTGCTGCTGGAGACCTATCTTCAACCACCACTGGAGGAACACTCAGGACCAATGGCCAGACCACAGACAGCTGGTCCCAAGAGTTGCAGCTGTATTCAGACAGGTCCCTGCAGAGCACACACACGGGGTCGCAACCCCCACCCTGAATCTGAACTGACATTTAGAATGAGTTTAGGACTGGTGGTGGCCAGTCCTGCTTGGAACCTATGGCCAAATACTCACAAACATAGTCATCTGCATGATGTATGGTTTTAAACACGTTCGCCTAGGAGGCCTCCGTCCTGCATCTATCTATCTATCTCTCTCTCTCTCTCTCTCTCTCTCTCTCTCTCTCTCTCTCTCTCTCTCTCTCTCAACAGGGCCTCTGCACCTCTACGGCTCCTTCCCCTCTATTCTAGCCAATGCAGATGCAATCAGCAATTTATGAGTATGTTAACCACCGCTGCGCTTGGATACAAGCCTTGGAAGGAAAAACCAAGCTCTCTTCCAGACCATTCTATGCTGCGTCACAGAAATTAATTTGCTAACACTCTGGCTCCTTGTCAGACAAACCCCGTCTTCTGTGTGTGTGGCACAGTGACAGGCCTAGCTGCCGAGATACCAGAAGTGTCGCACATACCGCGCTACCTCATCTTACAGCCGGAGGAGCTGATGCGGGCCTTGATCTTCACAAGGCTTCTCCAGAGCGCTCTCACCAGCAAACCAAACAAACGGGCTTGATGGCTATGCAGCTGGCAAGACAGGATGGCTCTCTCCGAGGGCCATCTCTGGCCCAAGGAAGACACAGCTGTTACAGGGCAGGGATTAAACATCACCCGAACGACCTTTTTTATGTATCCAAGTCTGTGGTTAAACAGCTGTAGGAAGCCGGCCTTAAAAGAGTAGCGTATGGAGAGACAGGAAGAGACAGGGGCAGGCCTCCCGCACACAGGCTGTGTTCGCTGAGCGCCTGTCTCATGCCAGACCCTGATCTGGGAACTCACATAAGACTGTCTACTCAAAGGAGCTAGGGGAAAGGGGGAAACAGGACGGGATAAATGGGACAAGGAGGTCAGGAGGGCCTCGTGGAGGAAACTCAACAAGCAAGCAAGGACTTGACAGGCTGCCCCAATGGGTGCCTGAGAGCGGAGCAGTCCATGGCACCAGGAGGGTAAGTCACAGTGGATTCCACACTATTTGGGACCAGAGACCTTGTCCCACTGTGGCACAGGCGCCAACAACCCAAAACTAACCTCAAACAGCAGAAGGCTATGATCAACAGTGTGGCGTGAGCCTCTGCCAAAAAAAGCCTCAAATGTGCCCCTCGTTAGATGCAGGAGACAGAATGAGTGAAAAAAGCAATTCTCTCCACCCCAGGGCAGCCACACGATTCTTTTAAAAAACACCAACTCTGTTCTTCGTTGAAAACGAAACATAAAACGCTTCACACATCTATTTTTAAAATTTAAAGCCGAAAATACGATTCCATAAATAACGTCTGGGATTTGTGTTTGCATGCTCTTGCTGGCGGATGACTCCTGCCATGCCCCCGACTCTCAGAACCCCTCACGAGCCCTGTCAAACCCACCCATCCATGCACCGTGGGGAGGCCACCTCTGCTCTCAAAGGCAGCCTGCTGAGGCCCCTGTCTAGCATGTCATTCAGCCCTGCCCAGGCCGCCGATGCTCACTCAGTGTGTCACCCCATCACATCCTTGGAAGTGGAACCAGAGCCTCTGAAATGGGCGAGCACTGATTTTGGTATCACAGTGGGGCCCCGGAACCAATCACCTCCCTGGCGAACAGACACTGAAAAGCAGCTACCCCTGATGGACTGAGGTGAGGGTTACACAATTCTGTACACTTGTGGGGAAAAGCCCTGAAGTAAACTTCACACTTAAAATTAGGGGGGAATTCAACGGTATGCAAATAAAGCTGGGTTTTGGTTTTGGTTTTAAGCAGGGCTGACAAGATGGTTCAGCATTTATCACCAAGCCTGGTGACCCAAGTTGGATCCCTGGAACCTATAGGGTGGAAGGAGAGAACCAACTCCTGCAAATTGTTCTCTGATATCCACACACACATGCCATGGCACATGTGCCTCGGCGGACCACCCACCCCCCCCCCCAAATAATGTGATTTACGGAGAATCGACTTTTCTGTGGGTATTCTGGTGCTGTGCCACACAGGAATGAGAACTTGCTTTCCCTGACATGGACAATCTGTCTCTGGTAGAAGTGAGGGACCCTGAGGAAGAGAGGGAAAAGGCATCCAGACTTGGGGACAGCAGAAAGAGGAGGAAGTGGCATGGATGACAGGGTGGTTGGGCAGGTCAGGAGAATGTGTTTTTTACATTGATCCATTCACCGCCGACATTTTTCTCAGCAGCATGCTCCAACTACGTGGTCCAAAAGGGCTGAATGTTGGCAACTGCAGAGATAGGGTGTGTGCTAGGGAGAGGATCTTAGGCCCCAGAGAGCCTGTGCTGCCGATCAGCTGCTCTGCTTATCAGCCTAGTGACAAGGGTGTGTGCATAAATAAATTCCTCACCTATAAATGGGAATGACATCAGCACACCCCAGAAACACACTGTCATTTCCACACTTTAAATTGCATTCAAAGGCTGGCACAGGAGCAGGCATTCTGTTCTCCAGCTCCTCTGCTGCCCTCAAAGCAGAGAGAGAATGGCAGCCCTTGCTGGCACAGCCAACCTTACAAGGTACCCCTCTATCTCCCGGTTAACACCAGCCCCTCATCAACCTAGAAAGCAACACAGTTCTCAGCAAAGCAACCCTACTTCCCCAGCATCACCATACAAGTCTCAATGGACCCAACCTTCCCTGGGGTTCGGGGGTGGTTGGACGGGCTGCAGGTGGCATTCTCCACCTCTTCTTGGAAGGCCATAAGATGGACTCAGAGCTGGGGTTTGGAGAACCAAATGCTCCTGTTGCTGATGCAATGGGGAAGGTCGTCATAGACAGGAGCCACCAAGCAACCTGGCAGACATGGAAGGGCCACCAGATCATGCTGGTGATGAATGTTCATGAGCTAGTGCCATGGGTGTCTCTATTTTGGTGTCAAAAAAAAGAAAGAAAGAAAGAAAGAGAGAGAGAGAGAGAGAGAGAGAGAGAGAGAGAGAGAGAGAGAGAGAGAGAAAAGAAAAAAAGAAAAGAAAGAGGACATATTTCAGTTGGAGCCCAGAAAGAGTGTCCCACCTACTTGTGCTGTACAAAGCTGTCTCTGCTGACTCCCAAGGTCATGCCACCGAGCAACTGCTCTTTTAGAAGTCATGTCCTTGGCTGGTCACTGGGTTTACTTTTCCTCCAGTCTCACGGCAACTTAGGGACTGTCCCAGTCAGGAGGAAGGGGAGCTAGACCCCAGGGAGGCCAAGGAGCAACCCACAGAGTGAAAATCCTCTGTACAAACTGCTGACTCTCAGGACCCCTGGCCTCAGCCCATCCTGCAGGCGTGGCTCCCTTGTTTGTCCTAACACCTCACCTACTCCAGAGTTCCCAAGGACCAATCAACAAGGAGCCAGCGCGAGGAGCTCTGACCCCTGAGTGCATCCTGGGTGCTGCAGTGTGATAACGTGGAAGGGAGGTCACCCACCACCATGCCCTGTCACCTGGGAATTACCTGCATGCAGGAGTGAAGCTATGCTGTGACAGAAGGTGCCTGGAGCATTGGCCACTTTCTAGACCTACTGAGTCCCAGACCAGAGGGTCTTAGAACCCCTGCCCACCAGGTGCTCTCAGTCCAGTGAGGGACACAGGACAGGAATCACTCATGGAACATACACAAACATCACAGGATCCCCGAGGAGAGACACTGGCTCCCCAAAAGGTGCTTGTTTTCCAGTCTAGGGACGCACCCACCACAATAGAACCTGGTGCCATGGTTACAGAAGGCCTGTGGAGCCCATCACATTTCAGACTCCCAAAGTCAGACCCACATTCTCAGAAGATACAAAGCAATGGCCCTGTCTGTCTTCGCACGCACATCTGAGGATGGAGAGAGATTCACTCTCTAAGGGAAGAAATGCACGCTTGGCCCAAAGCCTCAGGACAGTAAGCCACTTTTTAAAGCCTCACTTTTTAAAGCCTCACCAAAACCATCACATGTCTCACTGTGCTGGCTCCAAGCTGGCAGCCAGAGCTGTGGCTAACAGCTGTCCAAACTGATGGCATTGCCCAGGCACTACAGGAGGTGGGGGTGGGGCGCTTACACTCACCAGACAGTGGGTCTTTGCCAATCATCAAAACATTGGGCAAATTCATTACGATCAGCTGCTGGAGAACTTCCTACAGAGACAAAGAGAGAAAGACACCGTTAAAGAGCAGGAGACAAGAGTGAAGAGCCCATTAGGTAAATAACAGCTAATCAAGTCACTAGAGAAGTGTGCAGCCACTACATGGCAACCGTGAAGGTCCTAAATGATAGGATGAACCATTCAACTTGGAGTGTAATCATTCTGTCTTGCTCGTCAAATAAAAAACGGTGGCTGCACATGCAGAAACTTGCAGGGAAAGATAAATGGCATGCTAGGATTAAGCTTCTTTTTAAAAGCTATCTATACTGAATTATTTTTGTTCCTATAGTTGGTGCAGTTAAAACGAAATAGGGAATAAACAATGAGCTGCTACCGAGCCTTTATAAGCTGGGGACTGAGGATCTGAGCACGGGGTGAGGCTTTGGGGCAAGTTCTAGAAGAGGAGATTTTATTTTCTCACAGGGAGTGATCGTCTAGGAAAAGAAAACATCTAGCTGCTCAGCCCAGTCAGAGAAGATGGCCTTGGGGACAGCTGCCTCCAAACCCTCATACAAAGGCCCCTGAAAGAAGGTAGGCATTGCCCAGGCTGGGCAGGGCCGATCTTTCTCCTGGCTTAGAACTGCTTTTCATAAATCTAGGAAAGAAAAGCCCAATTTGGGGCTGGAGAGATGTCTCACCGGGTAGTGTCTGACATGCAAACGTGCAGAACTGAGTCTGGATCTCAAATACTCATAGGAAAAATTGAGGCGTGGCCGAGAGGATATTACCACAATGTGTGAGGGGGGCGGGGAGCGGAGAGGACGACGACACAGGACAGCAGTGGGGACGGCAACAGGTGAATCTTCAGAGATCACCAGCCAGCCCAGTAGTGAGCTCTGGACTCAGTGAGAGACTCTAACTTAAAATAATAATAATAATAATAATAATAATAATAAGTGAAAAGTGATAGAGGAAGATATCCAATAGACCTCTGGCTCCATGTGCATGTATGGGTGGACACGCGCTCACGCACACACAAACACAAACACACACACATACACACAAAGAAAATTCCAGTTTTGTGGGAGACTGGTGGAAAGGGGTGGGTGGCAAAGCCTTGTGCCTTTGAAAAGGGTTTCTCCTGAGACGTAGCCTGAGTTGACTTTCTCTGCTGCACAGAATGAGAGGCAGTGGCTGTGTTCAGCAGGCTTCCCACTGGCATTCGGGAAACAAGCTCAGCACCTAGTGGGCTAGTCTCACAGCGGAGCACCTCAAAACCACCTCAAAGCATGAGGGGAGACACTGGACAGCGGGGACTCTCTAGTACCTGGGCTCACATGTCACTTTGCCAACCACAGCTATGTCATCTCAAACATGCCTCAGGTGGCAACACACAAAACTCTCCCAGCCCACGTCCAAACAGCACAACCTGAAAATGGGGTTCTTGGGACAGCTTGCCCATCCTTTTAGGCAGCGCCCTCCCTCCAAAGTCCCAGCATCAGGCTGCCCTGGAAGAATAAGAGCACCCCTGACAACCGCCTGCATCCCATTCCGAGTCCTGATGGCTTTCCTGCCACCTTGTCCAAATCTCCGAGCCTTCGAGCACCCTTCTATAAATAAGTATAGGAAACAATGCTTGCTTCACCATTGTCAAGGCAATCTGTCAAATCCCCGAGAAGTTCTACTTTCGTGCTAACACTAAGCAAAATATCATTACAAAGTACTGTTAGGAAAGCTGTCTTTAGCTTCATTTAATCAGTACTTCCTAATTTCCCTTAAGGAAGGTGTTATTTTTGCAATGGAGAAAAAAATTTTTCATGTCACAGTGGTGCAGGTCAATAATTTTAGCATTCAAAAGGGTGAGTGAGGCATGAGGGCTGAGGGACGTTCCAGACCAGCCTGGGTAACACGGCAAGACCCTGTCTCAAAAACAAAAAAACAATAATAAAGAAACAATATTTATAAACAGGCTTTTAAAAAGTGTTCCCCGTAAAACACCAGGAGCCTCCTAAAACCTAATTCAATGGAGAAAAAGCTCAAAGGCCATTAACCAGTTCTCCTAAAGGACCATTCATCACATTATAGCAAGAGCAGGCTCAGAGGTTAACACTGCCAGCCACATGTAACTCAAGACAGACAGCAATTCCAATTTTTCAGAAGCCCACTTTAAAAAGATAAATAAAAGTGGAAGTATTTTCATAATACTTTAAAGCCAGTGTATCTAAATGTAATCATTTAAAACATCAAGATAAAAATTATTATTGAGTCATTGTATATTTTTTTCAAGGGATCTTTGAAATCTAGAGTATATTTTACACTTAGATCACTCCTCAATTTGTATGCACTTTGGGAAAACTTGAACTGTACATAGATTTCATGAATTTTACAGCTGAACAAGTAGATTTCAATTCCCTAGTTGTTCCAAATGCACTTAAATGGATACCTGGGTTTTTTTTTTTTTTTAATTCAAATGCACTAAAATAGCAATTCGTATCCTCAGACATACCAGCCGCATCTCCAGGCTCTGACAGTCATGGATGGCTACAGGATACCCACAGTGGGTGACAAGGTACTCGGTGGCCCGTGAGTTCCCTTGCACCTTTGACCTCCCCCAACAAAAGTCCGGCAGACGTGTCGAGGCTCCTGCAGCGATGGAGCCTCCCTCCCGGCCAGGCCCTCAGCCTAGCAGGGACGTGAGCAGGGTACCGACGAGAGGCCCCTCTGCCTGGCACCCAGAACAGAAAGCCACTGTGAAGTGGCTGCCACAGTCTGCTTGGGACACCTGGTTCCACCCAGGCTGGCTGCGAGGAGCAGGGCTGGCCGGCCGATGCTGGAGTACAGCCCAGTGCCGAGCTCTCCACAATCCCCCAGACCCAACCACCGCAGAATACCACAGCTGCAGCCTGATGTGGGGATGAGGGGCAAGCTTTAACAAAGGCTTGGGCTTGACAAGTTGTCCTTCCAGAAAGCACCCCGTCCCCATCCCCATCCCCGTCCCACGACCCGTTCAGAGGGGCGGGTATGACTTGGTACCCTCCGCACTGCATTTTAGATCTGCCATCACAGCCCTGCCTAAGTCCTTTTCATAAATGAAAGTGGACTAAATCCAATCCTGGGATGGCCTACTGGCAGTTAACTGCTAGAAACAATCCCCCAAATCTGGGTCAGAGGAGGGTGTGTTTGCATCCTGCAGAGGCAGCCTGAGCCTGGGCCAAGAGCCTCTGCCACCTCTTGGGCACTGAGATCCCTAAACTCCCTTCTCTCACATCACAGGGGGGGGGGGGGAGGGAGAGCCAGGCAGGAGAGTACTTAATATTCTAATAGGTACCCTTTCTGCTATCCTACTCTGGGCTTCAGATCCAAATACAGGCTCTCATCAAATGCTCAAGACCAAGGGGAGCAGCCAAACCCTCTCCAGGAGTGTCTGTCACACCAGCCTTGATGGGCCTCAGGGCAGCACCTGGGCCTGCACTAGGACGAACAAGCCAGAACCTCAGCCTCCCTGACTGTCAGGAGGCATAAGGTGGCTGGTCTCAAGGTCTGTGGTTTACAGTGGTCCCCAAAAGAGTTAAGAATACACTAGGCATGGTGGCTTGGGTCTATAATCCCAGCCCTTAGGAGGCTGAGGCAGGAAAATTGCCACGAGTCTAAGGCCAACCTAGGCTTCATAGCCAGATCCTGCCTCAAACAAAGAGTTCCAAGAACTGAACAAAAGAGCAAGCCGAGGCAGACAGTGATGGCGCACACCTTTAATCTCAGCACTTGAGAGGCAGAGGCAGGCAGATCTCTGAGCTCAAAGCCAACCTGGTCTACAGAGCAAGTTCCAGGACAGCCAGGGCTACACAGAGAAACCCTGACTTGAAAAAAAACAAGCCAAATGCACATCTAATGAGTGATTCTGTTAGATGCATGTTTAGCAGATAGGTTAAAAACCTTAAGAGAGACCCAAATACAGAATGTCCTATATTACAGCAATCAGGATTTCACCAAGTTTTCCCAGTATTTTCTAAAGATTCCACAATACTTACATCAATTTAAAATAATCTAACCCCAATGTACAGCTTCTCATGCAGAAAACATACCACAAGAGGCATTCATCTACCAGGCATTTGAGCTAAGCACCTGCCAGACCCAGTGAAAGGAAAAGAAATTATCCATTGTCCACCCGTCCTGAGAATTCATGTGCATCGAGGTATAGAGCATGTGAGGTCCTGGGTTGAGGACCTCACATCCTGTTGACTTGAGTCACAGGATGAAATGCATTGCCAACAAACAAATTACCATGGCACCTCAAGCCTCAGTTAGAAGAGCAAATGCTGGCTAGTTCAGGAGAACCTCAGGTCCTGGAGAAGAGGGGTCCTGAAACCAGGGATGGGGCAGGTGGAGGCTCTAGGGGAGGAACCTCCCAGGACACAGGCAGTTTGAAGGCAGTAGCTTGTGGGTGGGGAACCCCAGAAGAGCACTACATATTGGCAGAGGCCAAGCTGGAGTCTCTCTGTGAAGTTTAACCAGGCCTATCAGTCTCCACCACACATTTCGATGGAAAAATCTTTTTCTGTACAGGTAGAGGAAATGTAAGGTACTGAAAGAGTCGGGACAGCACCAGGCTAGGCATGGTGCCACTTGCCTGAGGTCCCAGAACTCAGGAAACAGAGACAGAAAGATGAGCACAAATTCAAGCCCTGCCTGGGATATATAATAAAACCATGGCTCAAGAAACCAAAAACGAAGACAGGCACACCTATGACCCTAGCATTCGGGAGGTACATGCCTATAACCCCAGCATTTGGGAGGTTGAGGCAGGAGGATCACTGTGAGCTTAAAGTCAGCTTGGAATTCACAAGTGAGTTTTGGGCCAGCCTAGGCTATAAATGAGACTGTCTCTAAGAAACAAAACGAGGAGAGGGATCAGGATAAAACTACTTTTATATGCATGTGTGGAGGTTAGTGTGGGATTGCTAGATCAAGAACAATGATTTCAGCCGGGGTTTGGTGGCGCATGCTTTTAATCCCAGCATGCAGGAAGTAGAGGCAGGTGGATCTCTGTGAGTT